ATGAGAACTCTCCAAAAAAAAAAGAAAAAGGAAAATGTATTATACAAGATATGAAACAAAACAAGCTGCGTCGGTTGGTGAAACTATCAGCAAAGATAACAAATCTTGGGGCGATTTGCACCTGGAGCGAAAAGATCTAAACAGCTTTACAAAGCAGTATTTCACTAGCCCAGCTGTCGGGGTTGATCCGAGTGGTGCAATGTTGAGCTCAGAAATGCCGGGAAGGTTAGGCAGACAGTCTATTTCTTCTTCTTTGCGGACCTCGATTCTGTTCGAGTCTTAGACTTTGATCTTGGCATGAAACCATTAGGTGTAGAGGAAATTACCTGCAGCAGTTCGTTTTTTCTTCGGTCGGCCTTTCCCTCGCAATTTGGCACTATGAATTGGATGTTCAGTGAGAACATATGTGATATGGGAGAGTGATTCTTACATCTGAATAGCTTCTTCTCTGTCATCCTCAGCTTCGTCGAATGTCGTCAATCCAAGAGGCTTATAAGTGTTTTGTAAATCTTGAAAAGAGACAGTCTGCTTTGGGTACCAGGCTGCAAGCGCTGGCCCACGCAAGCGCTGTCTCAAGACCTTGTTTCCAAGTCGAAGCCGTTGTGGGTTAAAATTAAGAGAGAATATGCGGCATTGGGTCTAGGGAATTGCCAATTAGTGAATGCCAGCACAGCGTAATGAAAAGGGTTGATTGAACCTTAACTAGATCCAAGATCCGACCTGGCACCATTTTCGTTTCTTAAAGGTTCAGAGGAATCATAAAAGAAATGGGTGAAGCAGTTCACAGCAGCTCGGGAGACTGATGTTATCGAACTCGGTGAGATACCAACTGAACTTTGCCCGGTAGTCATGTGACCTTCCGAAGTATATACCGCCTACTTCTTAACCATATTTTTTACCACAAGGGAAACCAAAAAGAAACAACAAAAACTGGACTAAGACTTAACACGGGCTACAACAACTGGCATGCCTCAATACAAGGTAGCAGATCCAGCAGGCTCAAAAATGCCAGTGGTAGATCTGAAAAGATCATCATCTGTCTTTGGATCAGATGCCACACGAAACTCACAAAAGCGGCCCAAGGTGAATACCTGTTCTCACCCCACTAAGTGAATTCCTGTTGATTTGATTAAGTTGCTAACTACCTGCTTAAAGGTTCAACAATCAAGCGGGCCAGCGGATACTAAATCATCTATTGGTGTCAGTCGCAGCATGGCCAAGTCTAGCAACAATTCTCGTCTACCTCTTCTACAACACCTTGTTCGAGAAATTTCAACTGGTTCTGATCTCGCTGGCGCTGACTTGGAGATTGTGGACGCGATTTCGAGACTGGATGACACATTCCGTACGACGAAGAATCAACTGCCTTCCAGAGATTCTTCCATAGCTGGTGAGGTCCCAAAATTACACCACTCAGATCACAGTTCCAATTTGGTCAGTGGATCGTGTGATTCTAAGCTCCCCCCGATAACGGATGACAAGCTGGAACTTGCTGTCTTCACTCATCCAGCTCTTAGCAACAATAACAACACGACCTACGACCGACTCGAGATCCTAGGCGATGCATACATTGAGCTGATTGCAACCAAGCTTGTCTGGGGGAGATTTCCAGATTTACCCGCAGGTCGAATATCCCAGATTCGGGAGATCCTTGTTAAGAATGAGACGCTTTCGGGCTTCGCTGAAAGATTTGGTTTGGACCGCAGGGTTTCTGTGCCGCCAAACTACAATACCCCATCAAAGCGATGGACCAAAACAAAGGGGGACGTCTTCGAAGCCTACGTCGCGGCTGTCATACTATCCGATCCTGTTTGTGGCTATGAGGTAGCCGAGCATTGGCTAGCAGGTTTATGGGTGCCAATTCTGAAGGACTTGGGGCATCAGAAAGGGGAGTTACGCTCCAAGGAGGCTCTTGCTAAGAAGATTATGGGGAAAAATGTCAAGCTGGAATACATCGAGGAGCGTCCATCAATTCAACAGAAGGGTGGCACACAGACTTTCTTCGTCGCGTTATTTCTCACTGGGTGGGGATGGGACAAAAGGTTTCTGGGTTCGGGTCAGGGTTTGAGTAAAGCAGCTGCAGGTGACGAGGCAGCGAAAAAGACCTTGCTGAATACGCCTCTGATACTTGAGATCGTGTCAGCAAAGGAATCATGGGAGTGTGATTCTTAAAAGACTTAGTCGTATGTCTCTCACGATCGATCGGGTCGATTGCTTCAAGTCTCTAGATCTCGATATTGCATTTCCCATTGAAGGAAATAGCACCGCATGGATCCATCTATACATATCTA